CGAGCAGAGGAGGGGTATTCATCTTTGGTGATCTCTCCCTGTTTCCACTTTTTATGTGCTCCCCTTTTGGCCCTTAGGCTGCCCTGGATTTCTGTGGTCAGCCAGGGAAGCCTCCTGGCCCCTTTCCCCCTTTTGCCTCGCTCGGGGATCGTCTTGCTTTGTGCCCGAAGGATCATTTCCTTAAGGCACAGCCACCCTTCTTGGGCTCCCACCACTTCAAAACTCCTACTCTGCACTGCGTCCTTGACTAATCGCCTGAGTTCATTGAAATCAGCTTTCCTAAAGTCCAGCACTTTCACCCTACTAGTTACCTTACCCACTCGACGTCTTATTGTGAATTCTATTATTAGGTGATTGCTGTCCCCCAGATGGCTACTGATCTGTAGGTCCCCAACCATGTCATCCCCCGTTGCCAATACCAGATCCAGTATGGCATTCCCCCTAGTGGGACCGTGTACTTCCTGTGTCAGGTGGAGGTCCTGTACACAGGTTAGAAACCTGCGTGAGCGGTGGGACTTTGCTGTCTGTGATTCCCAGCAGATGTCTGGGTAGTTTAGGTCCCCCATGACTACCACCTCTTTAGCTTTTATGGTCTCCGAGAGTTGCCTCAGGAGCCCCCACTGAAGAGGATATTTACAATATTCTGGTTTTGAAACAATATTTTATACCAGCACTCGAGGGGGGTGCGGATAATTCCACCAGCCTGTTTGTGGGTGTGAGGGTCTATAGATTCTTCCTTTATATTACCTTGACCTTATTCTATATACCAACATTGTAAAAAAGCAGCTTAAGTTAATCAAGTTAATAGAGAATAGTTAAAAGTTTCAGATTAAATTAATCGACAATGAAGAATGGATGGCAGAATGGACAAACAAAATAATTTGTAGATGGATGTTGTAAGGTAACATCTATTGGCCAAAAAAAAATATTTGCCATATATTTTGATGCATTATGAACATATAGGATTCTTATAAAATTAAAAAGCTAGGAAGTTCTCATGTTTGTCTAAGATGTAGCAGCAATGTATAAGACTGATGAGATAAATTACTGAATTTAAAAAAAAGCATAGAAAACATAACAACACTAGGTTGCAAAGCCAAGCACTCAAAAGATGTGACATGCCTGTGCATCGTTCTAATGTTGTTTCTTTGCATTTCCACTCTATTCCATTTCCAAGAGAATCTCAGCATAACTCCATCCATGAAAGAGTGAATCTAGGTTGTATAGTGAAGGCTGTTGTCTCTAGGACTCCTATCTTATTTTCTGCAAATACTGAAAAATGTGTAGTAAATGAGACTGGGATCTACAAGAAGGGATAGGGACTACTTCCTGGTCAAGACAGTTAAATGATACTATGGAAAACTCCTGCCTCTTACAGAGTTCCTCTGCGATATCTGATAAGTCAGCTAAACCAAACTTGGTACGGTTAGCATCCACAACTGTAATTACAGTTATTATCAACAACAGTTATGCTCTGAACAAACTGATAAAAAAAGGTTATATTCTCTTTTTAAAAAGGCAGAATATGAGCATCTCTTATTGAGGTTCCAACATTAGTAAATGCTTCTGACAACCCTGATGCATCTGTTTTCCATTTGAAAAACAGTGATAATAATGCCATATCACACCACAGGGATGTTATCACAATAAAAAAAAAATGTTTGTGAAGCATTCAGATACAGTAACGATCTCCTAAAAATTAATAATTCTATACTCAGAACATAGTTAGTGTACAGTAAATAAGACACAGAAGATTGGAAAGGACTTTTTGGATCACTGATTCTAGCCCTCTCTTACTGCAGGCCTCATGTCGTATCAACCCCTTCATAATTATTAAACTCCACCTTAAAATCAGTTAGGCTCTTTCCCCTGCAGTACTCTCACTGGAAAGCTCTAATGCAGGGGTGGGCAAAGTGTGGCCCAGGGGCCGGATGTGGCCTGCCAGGCCATTCTATCCAGCCCGTGAGGTCCCTAAAAAGTTTAGAAAATTAATATTTATCTGCCCTGGGCTGCCTGTCATATGGCCCTCAATGGCTTGCCAAACTTAGTAAGTGGCCCTCTGTCCAAAATAATTGCCCACCCTTACTCTAATGGCTAGGACTCATCTTCTAATATCCAGTCTAAATTAATCATGGCCAGTTTGTAGCCATTTGATCTAGTACCAACATCAGCCTTAACACTCAATTATATTTACTTCCCAGATGAATTTAGAAACAGCAGTTATATCCCCCCTCAGCCATTATTTTGCTATATTAAATAACCCAAGCTTTTCCAAAGTGCTCTCTTGAAAGAGACAGACAGACCTTTCTTTGCTGAACAATCCCTTCTTCCATTGTTTATAGATGCTGCTTATTCCTAATATACTTCCTGAAGTCTTTATTTGTCCAAATTTGTGTTTGTTTAACATACTGACTTCAGTAAATTCTTGGCCACCTCCACCATCAAGTCCTTAGCTCCTCAATCCAGTTAATTTTAAATATCCCTGAACATACTGCCCTGCTACCTTTCCTCCATTTAACTCTTCACGCCAGGTCAGTCTCTAACCTGCATATCTGAATCTCAATCTTTCCCTCACTAAACATCCTTAGCATTATGTCCTAATCCGACACCGTGGCATGCCTCATGCCCACCTTTCCACCCTTCTGAATTTAAACAAAGGAGTTTCCTCCCGCTCCCCACTGCCTTGGTACCGGGAGATACAGCATTTACAGTAAAGGAAGGCCAATCTTCATGCTCTCAGTTCTGTTGCACAGTGGGAGAAAATCCAGAACAAGCAATATCTTCAGATACATTATCAGCCAAACTCCACAAGTCCTTATTGAGGATGTGCAAACTGAAATTTTTGGGAGCCCATTACTTGGCCAAGTTTGGTCAGATTTTCATGGAGACTGCAAAAGGGAGAGGACTAATAATAAGCTGACTCCCACTGAATCTCAGATCTTTGTTCCAAAACATGGAAACATAAGAATTTGTCAACAGAACAGTTTTAAAACGTTAAAGTGGTACCTCATTCTTGGAAAGAACTTAACTGTTTTTGCTGAAATAAAAAGAAAAAGAAAAAAAAAAGAAAAAAGAATATCAGCCTAAAGTAGAAACCTGGTCTAGAAACTACTTCCCAAACTGTTAAAGTAATAGACAACTAAAACACAATCTAATTATTGAAACTGCCAGAGAACCTTAACCACAAGGATCACTATCTAGAGTGTCTATAAAATATTGAAGAGAAAGAAAAAGCTATTTGCAGACATATAGCTAACTCTTAGAGGTCACAAATACATGCCTAGAATTAAAGAAATGGGTAATCTGATGACAACTACTATTTGTATCAAAGTGCAAACTAGTTACCTGCAGCATAGTTTTGGAAAGAAATCTTTTCCTGATGCATAACACTGTATACTTGGCAAAGTGCATAATACAGAAGAGAGTTACCAGCCACTGAACTAAGAGATTGGGGTACTGCTCAAGACAGGATAATAGATAAACATTGTAATGATCCAATTCACAAATGCAAATTCTATATTCCTAATATATTCCAACTGAAAATTTCTTCAAAGGTGTTTTTGGATATATCTATGCTGCAAAAAATATATGTTCTTAATGCAGGTTAGCTAAGATGAATTAACTAACACAGTTAAAGCAGCAACGAAAACAAAGATATCTTTTATTTACAGGATTTCCTATTTGAAATCAAACCTGTAAGGGAAATGAGGATTTTTTTTGCTGTTTTAACCAGAGTTAGCTATACCAAGTTTGTGAACCAGTCTTAATAATGCAACTTTTTTCTAGTGGCATTCATACTTTCAATGTACTAGGGAATATACTACATACTCAAACGTGTAATAACATGTATTACTTTAGCTCCAAAACATCCTGAAATTTGACATAATCATACCTAACATAACCATAAATATTACCTCTTTGACATTCCTGTTCAGGACAGCAACTGCAGCTAGACGTGTTTTTTTAGCAAGGGAAAAACAACTCATGAAATATACATAGGTTTGCTACTACGGGACCAAGTCTCTATATCTGTAAATTCTTCAGAAGATGCTGTTTAATAATATAATTAAGAATATTATTAAAATAATATAATACCAACACAGAGGGCCTGGTTGTTTTAACTTTATTCTTGTAATAGGACACATTGGAGCAAGTTCAAATAGTCACTGTCTTGGAGGCCAATTCAAAATCCTAGGTGCTTAGGATTCCTTAGAGTCAAATGAGAGATTTAAAAAGTAGGGCTAAGAGGTTTATGTACCCAGGCACTCTATACAGAAAGTGGGAAGTATTCAAAGCCTTCAAAGTGCTATTCAGAAAAAGCCAGAGATGCTTGAAAGTGCTTAATGGTAACCTCTAAAGCATAGGGGTAAGTCTAAACTTCTGTCCCCTTCGCTAGCTTATGTCCCTACTTGAGCTACTTGTAAATTGTCTCTATAATGCACGATACCAACATCCACTATTGAAGCTAGCCACATGGCAATTTTCTGAAGGTCAGCAATTCAAAATCTTCTCATCTCCATTTGCCAATAGCCTAGCAGTTAAGGCACTTGCCTAGGAGCAAGTGAAAGGAGATCTGCTATTGGTAGCAGTAGGGCATTCTCCTGGGAGCCAGTGCCACACATTCTGTCTCCTGCTCCCTAAACACTTAATGAACTGTACATTACACAGGTAGTAATTGAAAACCATAATCCTGGTAGGAGAGACCTTCATCTAGAACTCCCCTCTTTCCAAGGCAGTGCCCTAACCCGTGGGCTACAAAGGCAGACTGCTTTTTGTGTGTTTTCCTTCCAGCCCATTAACTCCTGCTTGCTTGTGCCCAGAGGACCAGGCAAGGTGAAGAGAGTGCTGTCATGTAACCAATTCTACAGCCTCGTTGTAAAGGTTCTCCCTTCCAGAAGAGTGGGAGATCCAATTTTAAATCATGTAAGGGTGAGAGGAGCCTAAAATGCAGGTTGTTTATGCCCCTATGCTGCTGGACAAAACATTCACCACCACATTATAGTTTTTGTTTAGTTATCATTATGGCCCTCTTGGAAAAATGAGGTTTTAAGCATCCGATTCCCATGTAGGACCTATGTCAGTGCCAACTGAGAATCAGGCCACTTGACCTTCCTGGGACTGTTTACATGTTTGAATTCTAACCAACATAAATAAGTCTTTCAGAATCAGTCTTAAAGCATCCCCCAGTGCATTTACTGAGTCAATATTCAAGTACACAATAAAATAAAGCATTTACTGAATGGGAAAGGAGAAAATTATCAGTAAATAAAATACAGGTTATCAAATGTCAATAATATTATGATGAATGCATTGTAATTAACTCCAGTAAAGTATACCTTAGAAATGGAGCTGACATTGTGATGGAGAGCAATGATTGTATATTGCGTATGCAGTATATTAACAATTGTTTTGTGCATATTTTTGCATTTATATGTGACACAACTAGAAGTGCACCAAAAGTGAAATTCTGTGCTGTGACTTTCTTAAAGCAAAAAAGAAAGTGTCAGGTTAAAGGACATATAGCCATAGTGACTTAAAAATCATGCTTGTTTTCCCAGTCCTGGGGGACAATGATGAGACCCCCAGTGTAATGGAGACAGGTTGGAAGAAAGGCAGTTTAAATTACAATGGCCTCTCCAGGTACCCATTATATCAGGCCTTGCAAAGGGACCTTCCAATGAAATCCTAATCTGGCTGGATAGAAGAACTCTTAGGACCTACTTTATACCAATCAAGTTCTTCTAACTGGCATAGAGGAGTGAAAAATGAGGATTTTACCTAGTTTATAAAAATTGATTTATATTCTCTTTTTTTTAAAAAGCTATACTGCATGCATGGAGTTATAGAAATTATTTAAGATCTTTTAGTTTGCTAATAAGAGAACTTGATCCAAGACCCCAGAAGCCATTGCACAAAGAGACTCCCACTGAGGCAGGATCCACTGAAAATGGTATTTTGTATACTGGCTTGCTGAAAGCTTGCATTTCTCAAAATATAAGATGAATTGAAGAGCAAAATAAAGCAGCTCTTTTCTTAGCCTTTAAAGATGCAAAAGGATGTCTTTATTTTGAAAAAGGATTCGTGCTGCTTGTTTCTCCCCTCACTGTAACAGACTGCATTGCAAATGCTAGATACTGACTTCCCATCTCAACTAGATGCAAATCAGATGAAGGTCAGGTTTATATATTAGAATTAAAAAGCAATGTAAAGAGCTACTTGCCTGCATTTAAGTAAGCTGACTGATTTCCTGAGCTCTATATGCTATGTCCCACCAAACTTTTACACAGTACAGTCTTAATCTTTAACACAGAAAGCAGGTAAATCAAACAAAAATGTTCCTGTGATCATCCAGTTCTCCTGCTTGCAGTTTTTTTGCATCCAATTTGTCCGCTTCATAATCCAATGCAAAAAAATGTGTGTGGGGGGGAGGCGGAGGGGAAGAGGAAGCGAGGGAGGCAGGAGCCATCCTGATATATATAAATAAAGTTTGCCATTAACACAAGCAACTCTCACTTCAAAAGGTATTTAAGGCATTATAGGTTGTTCGGAAAGTGAACATCAGATGACATTAGAACTTTGAAAAACAGGATATTTAAAACAACCTTATGTTACAAGCCTTTGTGCATCATAACTCTTACAAACTGGCACTTACTTTGTTTGTTTCATCCTCTAGTGATTTTCTATCTTGATCACCCCTTAAAATGTTTCTATTTGAAGAAAAACAAGTACACAAAAGATAACAACTGAATATAGATAATAGTACAGCATAATTTGCTATTTCTGCAAATATAAAAGACAGCTGACAAATTTTAAAAAGCATTAAAAATATGGTTTACAAAAATTGAAATTTTTTGAGAGTCTTTATTTTAGAAACAGTTTAGGCAGCGGGCCCAGAGGAAAATAGCTGGGTTGGTAGCATGAAGGCATCATTTTGATAACCTCCTTCTTCCATCTAGTGGCAAAAAGTAGTAAAAAAATACCAAAACAAGATCTATGGGAATCTTGTCAAAAGATGTTTCTAAATGCCAGCTCCAAAGATTTACTGATGTGACAACAAGTGGGTGAGTAATGTAGAAAACTTAAAATTTATGTATGAGCTTATAAGGGTGATAGATATGCCTTTACAAGAAATTAGAAAAGTGCATACAATAAAATACAAAAGCTGTTGAAACAAGTTGAATTTTTGTTTTGTAAGTCACTCGTTCATTGCTTTTTCCTACTAGTGAGTCTAATAATTTCCTATATATGAAATTGTCACTATCCAATGCCTCATTCTCAGTCGCCGAGTTATCCTGAGTGGTTCTGAAAAAGTAGCATTTATACAAAATTTTACTGTGATTGCTTAAGAATTTATTCAGTCTTCAGATCTGTCACACAGGCACAACCATGCTAAGAACTAAGAATGATAGTCCTGTGGCATCTGCTGACTTGCAGCTGGGGATGATAGGAGGATAGACTGTATGAATGGGATATTAAAATAAATTCTCATCTTAATTGCTGCTCCTAGGAATCTTGCTATGGTGGAAGAACCATGCAAAGCAGGGTTTAGGTGTTGTGCAAGAGGAAAAAAGTTATTAGGAACTGTCAGATCAAGTAACACCAATGCTACAAATTGTCCAAAATGCC